TCAAAATTAATTATTTTAAAGATTTTTTTGTTGTAAAAGGTAAACATTTTCCCATTATTCTTTGGAAAAAAATTAATAATATGTAAATCCTTGAAAATCTGAAAATTTAGTATTTTGTCAAACTGAACAAATTTTGCCAATCGACTGCTAAAAAGGCCTAACACAAACTGTTGGGACGATTTTAAAATTTTAAGGTGGACTATTCATTGACGAAGTAGCGGGCACTTGCTAGTGCTTAATATTCAATTGGATTCTATATTTATACTGGAAATATGTTTATATATACTATATCATGTCTCATTTCTTTTTAGTTCAAAAAGTTCTGAAGAGCGCCTAAAAGTAGGCTTTAAATGTGCTAAAGATAAATTTAGAAAAATTATGATGTTTAATATGGCCTTTCACAAAAACTATCAGAATAGGTCTTTGGGCTCCCCTACCCATTCCATTATCGATTTTCTTGTGTGTTGTGATTTTGTGCTCGAGCTAACGGTATAGTCCATCCTAACTCTAAATATTTAAGAAAAATTCTTATTATTTTAATATGTTAGTTATTGAGAGTTTTGTGGTCATTATAAAAATACATGGTCAACCAAAATAATCGTTATAAGTCGGGTTACCAAACCATTTTTTAGATAATTAAATTAATCCTGACGATGATGAATTGTCGATAAATACGTTCAACTTTTAGTTACCAAAGTCCATAATAAGTAATTATTTAATTGACTGACTATATTAAAATAATGGGTGTGTAACCAGATTTGTAATGAGTATTTTTGCTGGATCTTAAATTGTGAGATTTTCAAATTCACCGCAAATACTAATTTTTGTTTAGATACGGAAAAGAAAATTGCTACCCAATTATATAAATTCCGAAAAAAATATTATATTCCTCCATAAATATATAAATCCATAAATATAATTAGATACCTTCATAATTTTAGCCAGCATCTAATTATCACTTGATTATACTTCAGCTGAAATCTAGCAGCATATTTCTTCGATTCATTTATTCCACGTGGAATACATATATCTTCTTTCAAATTAGTCACTCAAGTGAATCAGAATTTTCGAGTAGGAGTTCCGTCCTGAATGCATACAGTAAATAGAAACCCACAAAACTAACCTACGTTTTAAGGCTTCTTGGTTTGCCATACCATACCATACCATTCCGCTTCCAACAAGTATGAGTTCATTATGCAGTCAACACGTGCACAATTAATAAAACCTAATGAGCATACAATCAGCACACACACTTGTAGTAGCAGCATGTTCATTCGCTCATTTACAAAGTGTGTGGGTGTATGTGGATGGGTGTGCTAAAACTTTGTATTGGCACACACATTGCCTTCACTTTTTTCTACAATCCCCCCCGCAGAGTTGCCTTTGTAATGAAGACAAAAGACGACGACACCCTAGGATCCGAATCCTTGATGTGGGAATTATTTTCGTGTGGATTTTTCTTGTTTTTATATGTGTCGGTGTCGTTGCTACGCTTCAAGAAACCTAAAGGTTAATTAGCTGATTTTTTCGTTGTTGCGGAAGGTGTTATAAGCTGAGCGAGCGAATGAGCGAGCATAACAACACACAATTTTGCAAAGATGAATGACGATGGAGACGACGACGAAGGTGCTATGAAGAAGGTTATTTATTTCGCTGCAGAATCTGGTGTTTCTTTGATTGTTGATCCATAAAAAAACAACAATAAAATACACAATACCGATAATAAACTTCCGGTTTCAAAGGAAAAGTGGAAGAGTTTTATTTCTGCAATAATCATGGAAATGTTGGAGTGTGAAGTTGAGGGAAAATCTAAAAAAATCAAAGTTCTTCTTAAATTAGAAATGTAGATCGTTTACTTAAGGGCCTGACTGCACAAGATGCAACAGTGAAGTGATTTTCTCTTCAGTTATCTGTAACATTTTATAGCATACTTTTAGACGTTCCCCAGACTTTGTGGTTTAAAAAAATAATTAATTTATACTAATTAATATAAATATATTAAAAGTGCAGAATAAAAAAAATACAATGTTTGGTAGCTCCTCGAAGTATGGTATAAGAATTTAAAATATGCGCAAATCACTTTACATATGTCTCTAACCTAAGGTGTAATCGAGCCCTTTAGACGCAGGCTTCTGCTTCCAGTAGATACGTTATTTAAGTTCAATGTTAGAGGCAAATGTAAAGTAATTTTTCCCACAGTTATCTGTGGCACTTTTATAGCATACTTTAAGACTTTGCTCAGAATTGTTATAACCTCGATATATTCTTGATCAGCATACAATTCTATGTCGATTTAACGATGTCCGTCTGCCAGTTTGTCTGTCCGTCTGTGGAAATCACTTTAGCTTCCGAACGAACTGAATTAGGTTGATAAACTTTAATTCAGATGTGCGTTTGGTCTGCAGGACTTTTGGTATTGAAAATGGGCTTTATGGGCGTTTTGGTATAACCTGTACCTCTCTATATTCGGTATATAGATGATTTTGACGACATTATTCACCGGAATTGTTTCAAAATTCGTAATGTGTACCTGTGGCAGAAAATTGACTATTCGGGTCCACCTTAATATTATAGCCCCCATAAAACCGTACCACCCTGTGGGGTTATATAAGACCACGTTTACGTAGAGCCTGTGCCTCACTATATTCGGTATTTTGATGATTTTAGTGACATTATTCACCGGAGTCGTTTCAAATTTCGTAACGGGTACTGTTATTAGGGTCCACGTCATCTTATAGACCCCATATAACCGTACCACCCTACATCAGGTGTTTTGATGATTTTAGCGACATTATTCACCGGAATTTTTTTAAATTTCGTATTTGCAGTTGATAACACATACTAAAACCTGTGGCAGAAAATTAGCCCATGCAGGTCGAGGTCTTTCTATAGCCTCCATATAACGTAACCCTCCTATATTCGGTAATTGCTCACCCGAATTGTTTCAAATTTCGTATTGTGAGTTCGATATGGGTACTACAGCCTGTGACGGAAAATTGCCTTTGCAAGTCCAGGTCTTCGTATAGACCCCAATAAAACGGTAACTCCTTATATTCTGCATTTTTATGATTTTAAGTATTTTTCAGCGATTTTTTTATGTCAGTCCGTCTGTCTGTCCATCTATTTTTGTGAACAAAATGCAGATCGCATTTATTGAGATGAAATTTTCTAAACAAAATTTGTTTGGCCCAAAGACGAACTCTATTGAAATTGGTGAGAATCGCTTAAAATTTAGATATAGCTCCCATATAAATCTGCAACCGATTTCGGGTTAATTTTGCACCAAATTGCACATCCGATCCGAATTTAGTCTTGAAGGAAGTACATCGAAAATCGATTCAGATATAGCTTTAGCTCCTATTAATATTTTTCATCCGATTTGGTGTTAAGTCCCTCACATTCGTAATATGCACCCCACAAGAATGATATTTGGTACCAGATATCAGATACAGCCCAGAAAGATAGGTTCAGATTTAGATAAAGCTCCCATATATATCTTCAACCGATTTGGAGTTAATTGAGCACCAAATAGCCAATATCAGTCCAAATGACCTGATTTTTGAAATGACTACATCCGACCGCTTTCGGTCCAGAAAAAAGTACATCAAATTTGAATATTCAGTTCAGATATACCTATAGCTCTATATATATTTATTTCATCCGATTTGGGGTTTTAAGCCCCTCACATGCGTAATATGCACTCCACAGAAATGATATTTGGTACCAGATATCTTATAGAGCTCGAAAATATCTTTGACAAATTTTATCCAGATCGGCTCAGATTTGGATATAGCTCCTATATATATCCTTATTGCCATTGTAGGTTTAGTGTGCAAATAATGGCTAATATCAGCCCAAATGGAGTGAATTTCGGACGTTCGTTTCTATTTGGTGGAACTCGGCTCCGACATATATATTTTTAATATAACCCTCTCCTTTTTCATATTCCCTCCTTCCACGAAGTGATATCATGCACTCTATAGCAATGTATTTTGTATAAAAGATAAAAATGTCTCCGTCAAATTTGGTTAAAATCGATTCAGAATTGGATATGCCTTTAATATATATGTTTCTTCTGAACTGTTGATAGGTGTTATGATCTAGTCCAAATAAGTTATTATGTTAAAGGAGCTCTACTAAATATGCATAGTGGTGTATGCCTAACTTTTGACTTTTCCTTACTTGTTTTAATTACCAAATGGTGGGGGTATTCAAAGTTCGGCCGAATTTACTGCTTTTTTAATTGTTTTATCTAAAAAGTAACGCTTTATGGTATAAATAAATATAAATATGCTAAAATTACGGAATAAATAAAATACTAGTGTATTTATGGTATTTTAAATTGCTGGGAGCCCCTTTAAGTATGCTATACGAATTTAAAATATGAAAAACGTATTTTACATATTCCTCCAACTCAAAGTGTAATAGGGCCTTTAGATTTGGGATTCTGTTACATTTTCTTCTCCGCCACAATTTAAACTAACAACTGAATATTTATTTAAAAAAACCTTAAAAATAAACTATAATTTCCCTTTGTAAAAACCCTCCAATAAATCCCCTCTTTAATGTTGCCATTAATATTTCGTATAATTAACAAAAAAAATTCATTTCTTCTTAAATAAACATTGCCTTAAGTAAACATTTGCTGTAAAACAGAGCACTCTAGTCAAAAGCCTAAAAGTAGGCTTTTTTTGAAAGAAAAAAAATATTGTGTAATTAATTAAAAACAATAAACAATAGTGTGTTTACATAGTCTCTTTGGCTCTACTATCTCTCTCCCTAACCCTCTCTCTTTCTCTCTGCCACTCTTTGTGTTTATCCACTACAATTTTCATCCAACTGATTTCTTTTTAATTATATTTTGTGTTTATTTTTCATTTGCCCTCTATAAGCATTAACTTTAAAAATTACCTTTACCTCCCTCCCCCGCCCCTGAAAATCTCTATACCTTTGTCTTTAATTAATCCGTATGTATCTCTGCTTTTAATGTTTCATTACAGATCTCCTCATCGAAATGCTGGGTGTCTTGGCCAGCTACAGTATAACCGTCAAGGAACTAAAACTACTGTTCGGCACCATGAAAGCCGTAAATGGCAAATGGCCACGCCACTCGGCCAAATTGTTAAATGTTTTACGACAAATGCCACATCGTAATGGTCCTGATGTATTTTTTAGTTTTCCAGGACGTAAGGGTTCGGTAAGTTTGGATTTTTTTTATGTTTTTCCTTTGTTGTATTTTAATATTTGTATGACTACAATGTATATGCAAAGTTGTGTGTATGTATGCGTTCTTTATCCATAATTTATATTTGACAATCAAATCTTTTGTAGCCATAGGGGAGGAAATGATTATGGGAGTTTTGTATAAGTAATTCTTATTTTATAAATGGGGTTTAAGTGAATAAGTGTCGATCCAAAAATTAGGTTTACAACCGCGTGAAATATTTCGTGTTCTCCAATTTTTTTCAATAAAAGTAACGAACAAGCGCCATCTATTAATATAGGGCGAACGTATAGTTATAGGAGACCGAAATTTTTTAGGCATACTTTCAGGATGACAATACAATATTAACACATTACGTCATTGGACATATAGAATATAAAAATTAAATCGGGTATATAATGTGAAAAATCGATGATTCGTCATCACCAAACGTTTTACGACCAATAATTATGAATAATATCGAGCGCCATCTATTATCGATAGTATGAAAATAAGCATAATTTCAGCCAGAAATGTACCAATGGGTTTCATGAATTTACAATTAGGAGTGATTTGAGAACACTGGTTCCAGGGACATTTGAAAATTTCATAAATTGTCATTGCTAAACATTTTAAAACCAAATAAAAAAATAATTTTTTAATTTCTAGCGCCATCTATTGATTTTAGAAATTCCTGGTTATTTTCGCAAGGCGAAAATTTTTCAATAACAAAATGGCTTTAGATAAGAACATATTATAGAATAATATGGGAAATTTCATTGGTTTTTTTCAGTAGATGGCGTTCGTATTGGAAAATATGTTGTCACGATATCATGGCATAGCATAATGCTGTAATTGGACAGACCTGTCATTTTATAGGGATTTAGCTGATTTTTATCGATTAAATGATCACGGAAATGCTCTGGAATAGATTTTGAGACATGTCTACTGCTTTTTTTCCTCGGCTTTCCAAAATTTTTTCGTTATTTCGCAATTACATATTTCTGAAAGTTTCTAATGAATTCTTTGGCATGTAGGTGGCCATCTATTGCCTGATAGACAAATTAAATGACCATATGTATTTTGCCCAATCGTTAAAGTTTTATGTCTTGGATATAATATAGTAAGATGTGACATTTAATTGTTGTTTTGTTTCAAAAGATGGCGTTAGTAGTGATATTAACAGATTGTTATAACGATTTCTAAAATTGTATGCTCTGGAATAGATTTTTGTGCCAATATCTATAGTTTTTCATGCATTTATTTGCTAGTTTCCGACATTTTTTCGCGATTTCGAAATAACATATTTCTTTAATTTTTTAATACATTTGTGTCATGTCGTCGGCCATCTATCGCCTGATCGAGGCATTACTAGGCCATATGCATTTTACCCAATCATTATAGTTTTATATCTTTTCCCCAAAATGGCGCCCGGTGATCGTTAATAAAAATTGATGTTCAAAGCTAAATATTATTCATAAAAAAAACAAAATGCTGGTAGGGACAAAATGTTAGCAAAATTCTTGCTAAAAACGACATTCAAGAAATAGTAGTAGGCAGATATGGGGTTCCAGGCAATTTCTTATCAAATTGCAATAAGCTTCGACACCCATTGTATTGAATTCGAATTAGCATAAACTAAATGTGTAAAAAGGGCGGTAAACATTATTTTCTGTAATTTTGCAATTTGTCACCTCACCAATTTAATAAGTAGGTGGGTTATGGGGTAGTAAAAAGCATATTTGTTGGCCCACACCCAATTAGATAAAATGCAGATGGCACCTCTGTGATCATTATCAGAAATCAATGTTCAAAGGAAAAAAGGCTTGAGAAAAACAATACTATGTAGTTAAGCGGGGGTATGCATATTCTTATAAAATTTTACTGAGCGTCGACATAAATCTGTTGTACCACCAGTGCTGCTTAACCCCAAATATGATGAATGGGAATTAAACTTTATGTGGATAAAAATTAAAGTAAATAGTAGATGGTTTATGGCGGACAGAGAAAATTTTATAAAGTGGCACACTTCACAAAAAGCAAGAGTAGGTAGTTGTGCCGGTCCTGGAAAATTCTTATTTGACTTTTATAAAGCTTTTACGATGAGTTCTTATAAAAATACTCTTATCCTTGGAATAAACCCCTTTTTTACCACCAGTGCTGCGTTTTACCAAATATGTGAATTTGAATTGGCATACATTGTGAAAAAAATTGTTTTTTTTTTTTTTCTGTAGTTTTAAGATTCGAATATTCACTTGTGAAACTACTTCTTCGCAAAATATAAGTAGTTTGTTTATGCCGTAACTGAAATATATTATTAAAACTCGACACAGACATACAGTGCCACCAAAGTTGAAGTGTAGTGAAAAGTAGATGTCGTTCTGCACTCGTTCGAATAGGCGGATGTCAGTTCATATTACATTTGAAATAAGGAAATTAGTTTTATTGGTGAAATCTAGATGGAGCCCCATGACCGTTAGCAAAATCACGAATTAAGTGTTTACAAACCTAGAAATATGCAAAGAAAACCCTAGAAATATGTTTTTATACCCTCCACCATAGTATGGAGGTATATTAAGTTTGTCATTCCGTCTGAAACACCTCGAAATCTACATTTTAGACCCCACAAAGTATATATTCTTTATCAGTATAAAATTCTATGTCGATTTAGGGACGTTCTTCCGTCTGCCCCTATCCGCCTGTGGAAATCACAGGCGTATAGCCCCCATATAACGGTACCTTCCGAAATTCGGTATTTTGATGATTTTAGCTACATTTTTCACCGAAATTCTTTCGACTTTGCTATTTGAAGTTCGTAATAGATACTACAGCATAAAACAGAAAATGGGCAAAGTAGGTCCACGTCTTCGTATAGCACCCATATAACGGTACCTCCCGATATTGGGTATTCTGATGATTTTAGAGACATTATTTACCGGAACTATTTCAAATTTTGTATTTGAAGTTCGTAATGAATACTACAGCCTATGACAGAAAATTGTCTGTGCAGGTCCACGTTTTATAACCCCCATGGTACCTCCTTATGTACGGTATTTTGATGATTTTAGCTACATTATAAACAGATTCTATTTCAAGTTTCGCATTTGAATATTGTAATAGCTTTTGACATAAGTTGCCTATGCAGGATCACATCGTCGTATGGACCTTAATATAAGGCTACATTCGGTATTTTTAAGATTTTAACGGATTTTATTTTTTTGAAAATTACCAAATTTTTATCAAATGGTGGAGGGTATTCAAAGTTCGGCGCGGTCGAACTTACAACTTTTTTCTGGTTTTAGTATGAAGACTCTTAAGAGAATTATGGTCATTATTTAAAATAATATTAAATATTATTAAATTATTTTTCAATGACATTACAAGTATGATTTTGCTATCTTGTACAAAAAATATTCTCCAGAAAAGCTCTATATGCCTGAAATTATTTTTTCGTCGCTTCGTCTCTAATTTGGCCTTAATATTTATGACATTCCTAGGTTCTAGGTAGATCAAAAACAGGCCTTTAATTCTTGAATAAAAAATATCTTAATTTTTATGTTTCCCTATAATAATCCTATTCTGTCCCGACTTCCTTTACATTTTTGCAATCATATTTTTTATTGCCATTCACATTTTTTTTGCGCACGCTTCCCATTTACATTAAAGAATGAATGAATGCATTTACTATGGCAAAGATGGTGACTACCTTTTTGGCATCATCTGTTTCAATAGCACCAGCAAATTGCTCCTTTTTTCAGTGCGCTCGCTAAATTGTATTTGTACTCATACAAAAGAAGAAGGAGGAGGAGAAGCAGAAAAATCCCTCACTACAAGATAGCACCTTGTGCGAGCTTGATTCAAACAATCTGTTTCGACTAAAAGGCTTTCCCCCACTTTCACTTCCTCTCTCGCCATATCCACACGGCAGACAATTGTAAGTCCAAGCGAATACATTTCCAACACGTTATGTGTATGAATTGGGCATTATTTATATTTCAATTCAGGGTGCTCGTTAGGGTTTGTGTATGGGGAAGAGGGTTCACGGAATACGGAAGGGAGTTATACCTACATATATGTGTCCTGATTCGGTTCCAGGGAGTTGTTACCAATTTTTATTTATTTCGTTCTGTTTCGACGATGTTTTTTTTTTTTTTGTCCATCTTTCGTTTGTCGTTTAAGCTTCTGTGAGACAACATTTTATGGTGCATTACATGCCCGTTGTACTCTCTCGCTCTCTCCCTGAGAGTAAATATAACATGCTGTGCTTCTTTAGTTTTGGATTTTATTGGATTTGGTAAACGAAAAACGGGAAATGCTGAAGGAAAACAAGGACACATGTTTGTGTGCATGTCAAAGTATAAGCCACAAAAAAAAGCGAATTCTGTAGTTTATGGTTTGTTGTTTTTTTTTTTTGTTGGTTCTGTTGCAATTTTATTAACAAACATAAATTGAAGCATTTGGTGGTGTCCCATATTTTTTGGGGCAGAAGAAAAATCACGCAGTTTGTAATGAAGGGACAAAAGTTAAGTTTAAGGATTTTGGTAAATTAAGATTTAAATTTTACAGTTTTAGAATTAAAAAAAAAACAAGTTAGAAAGTATTAGTCGGTTTTCCCAAACCAATGTTCGATTATTTAATTTTATTTTGACTTGATTATTTAAATTCTTGACCCTGTATGGCGTAGGTTCCGGATGAATGGGCCAATATTGACCATTTCGTATCGGACCTAAATAAATATGAAATAAATTTTGCGGCGTGCCAGGTTTGGACAATATTGGTAACTTCCTTCACTTTGTATGAGATATGTGCGATTTTGTCTATTTTCGCACCTAACCTGAACTGATGCTAATTTTAGGATTTTCAAAGTTGGAACAAAATCGGATTATCCTTTCTCTTTATGTGCATATATTTTTTTATTTATTTTATTATTATTATTATTATTATTATTATTATTATTATTATTATTATTATTATTATTATTATTATTATTATTT